TTGGGACTATATATAAAACAGCTAGTTGATTTGTGACCAAACAGTTACTTCTTGAATGAAATGAAGAAGACCAGTTTAACGTGATAATTGAAGAAGACCAGGTTAACGTGATAATTGAAACCAAACAACACTTCAAACGGAAGTACGACATAACGTGGAGGTATCCCATACTACCTTAAGGTTCGAAAAACAACGCTCCCCCCCCCCCAATCCAGAACCCCTCTTTCACGAAGGAGGGAATATCAAAATGCAATCTCTTTGTGCAGGTGTTACTCTCTTATGACAGCATCTAGTTGAATAATATAGTTCAGGCGTGGATCCAGGAATTTTTTCGGGGGGAGGGGGGGGGGTCCACCGCAGTCAAAAAAATTTCCAACCCAAAAATTTCTTGACAAGCAAAAAAAAAAAATCATTTCCTAAACGTGAAAACCACCTATTTCGTGGTGGTGATGGTGGGGTCAACGTTTTCTAGGGGGGTCCAAAGTCATTTTTTATTTACTTCAGTGTATACTTTTAGTAACTCGGCAAATTCCAAGGGGGGTGGGGGTCCAGACCCCCCCCCTTCTAGATCCGCACATGCAGTTGAAAGAATGTTGGGTGCCTTATTCCCCAATTTATTAAGATAATCAACTCAATTCTACAGTGTCCTCATAGATAGACATGGGATTTTACTATAGATTTAACCTATTTAAAACTAGAGGTAATGTGAGCTCTGAGCTCAAAAAATGACCCCCCCCCCCCACTCCCATATGAGTATATATTGGCTAAGTCTATGTTTTGCTATGGGATAGCCAAAATATCTGTCCGATCGAAATGTAAAATAGAAGCTCACAATGGCACTATGTAATAAAGATTCTGTGAAAGGCTCATTAAATTTTATTCAGTGGTATAGGAGGAGCTGCGGATAGGAGATGGGTACCTCCGATATTATATAAAAAGAATGGCAGCTGTCCATGTTTTATTATAGGAATCTTTTGAAGGGGGTCGCAAATCAAGACTAGGTTTTGGTGACCTCAATTTCTAATCTTATAGCTATACAGTCAAATCGAGTCCAAATCATACCTTTCACACAGCTCACTGTCTATGTCCAGATATCATACTCAAACTGTTTACCCCAAGTTCAAAATGCTACTGAACTTTGATCCAAAATCAGATCACATCTGTAAACATCTGAGGATGCTTCCATATAAATATGACCAATCATGGCTTTTTTTTTGTATTAAATATATATTCATTTGTATAATATTATATAATATACACAGACAGTTCCATGATAATATGACAATACACTTAATCAACTGATAAATAATATACCGGTAAACCTAAAATGATACGTTAAATAACATTGTTTAGTCATGGCTTTGCTGTTCTTGAGAAGATTTTTTAAGATTTCTTGTATGTATTCCTATGTAAAACTTTGATCGTCCATTGTAGCCCAACCCTACCCCAGGGTTCATGATTTGATAAAATTTGAATCTACACCACCTGAGAATGCTTCCGTATAAATATGACCAATCATAGCTTTGCTGTTCTTGAGAAGAAGATTTTTGAATATTTTCCCTATATATTCCTATGTAAAACTTTGATCGCCCACTGCGACTCCACCCTACCCTCAGGGGTCATGATTTGAACAAACTGGAATCTACAGTACCTGAGGATGCTTCCATATAAATATGACCAACATGGCTTTGTTGTTCTTGAGAAGAAGGTTTTTAAAGTTTTTTTCCTATGTATTCCTATGTAAAACTTTGATCACCCACTGTGGCCCCACCCTACCCCCGGGGGTCATGATTTGAACAAACTTAAGTCTTCACTACCTGAGGATGCTTCCATATAAATATGACCAATCAAGACTTTGCTGTTCTTGAGAAGAAGAGTTTTAAAGATTTTCCCTATGTATTCCTATGTAAAACTTTGATCACCCACTGTGGCCCCACCTTACCCATGGGGGTCATTATTTGAACAAACTTGAATCTACACTACCTGAGGATGCTTCCATGTAAATACATGTATGACCAATCAAGGCTTTGCTGTTCTTGAGAAGAAGGTTTTTAAAGATGCTCCCTATGTAAAACATTGATTGCCCACTGTGGCCCCACCCTACCCCCGGGGGTCATGATTTGAATAAACTTAAATCTACACTACCTGAGGATGCTTCCATATAAATATGACCAATCAAGGCTTTGCTGTTCTTGAGAAGTAGATTTTTCCTATGTATTCCTATGTAAAATTTTGATCGCCCACTGTGGCCCCACCCTACCCCTGGGGGTCATGATTAGAACTTGAATCTACACTACCTGAGGATACTTCCACATAATTTTCATATTTTCTAACAAAGTAGTTCTTGAGAAGAAGATTTTTGAAAGATGCCATAAATTTTTCAGGAATTTGCAATTATCTCCCCTTGGAAGAAGGCGTGGCCCTTCATTTGAACAAACTTGAATCCCTTTCATCCAAGGATACTCTATACCAATTTTGGTTGAAATTGGCCCTGTAGTTCTGGAGAAGAAGATGAAAATGTGAAAAGTTTATGACAACAACAAAGACGACAGACAACGGACAAATTTTGATCAGAAAAGCTCACTTGAGCCTTTGGCTCAGGTGAGCTAACAAGTGGATACCCACCAGTCCACTCTCAATGATAAATACTATGTAAGCAAAAGAATAAAAACGCTTTTCATTTTATCATCAGTTATTCTACGTGTTCTTCACTGAATCATTAGATATTCATGTTTGATCACGTTGTATATCAAAACTTTATCAAATGTGGGTTTCTACCCAATGTCTCTACTCCAAAATCAATAATATTTTGGAATCATTAAAATTCATGTGGACCAATTTTCATGGATTGCTTAAATTTTACAGGGCTGGGCTGGGATTCATACAACTTCTTAGTATAATCTTAAGTTTAAAAAATCACTTAAGTTTTATATTTTATACTTAAGTCCCCTAAGTATTACTTAAATTTGGTAGAAATACTTAAGTGTAATTCATAAACATATTTAGTGCTTAAGTATTGACTTAAAGTTAAGTGTCCTCAGGAGGTGTCTTAAGTAGATAAGAAATACTTAAGTTTTCTTTATCAAAATAAAAATAATGCTTTACAGAAGACATTTTACTCTTTCAGTAAGAAACCATGCTATTACATCCAACTAGAAACTTGTTTTGACTTTGAGATGTTTATCAACTGGTAAGATGCAGTATTGTGCAATGGTGATGACAAAGTTGTATCAGTTGTGATGTAATACACATGGAACTAAATACCTCCATCACAGGGCTGGGATTCATAAACATACTTAAGATTTGTGCCAAGTTTCACACTTAAGTATAACATAAATTCTTAGCTAAGAAAAAATTCTTAAGTCATATTCATATAAATTCTAAGTGCAATTCTTAGCTAAGTTTAATTCTGAGAAAATTAGAGCACTTAAGTTAAGTCACCCTAGCAACGCATACAATTTCCTGAACAAAAAGCGCACTCTTTTGTGATGGAGGTATTTAGTACCATGAGTATTACATCACAACTGAAACAGCTTTGTCATACTGCATCTTACCAGTTGATAAACATCTCAAAGTCAAAACAAGTTTCTAGTTGGATGTAATAGCATGGTTTCTTACTGAAAGAGTAAAATGCCTTCTGTAAAACATTATTTTTATTTTGATAAAGAAAACTTAAGTATTTCTTATCTACTTAAGACACCACCTGAGGACACTTAACTTTAAGTCAATACTTAAGCACTAAATATGTTTATGAATTACACTTAAGTATTTCTACCAAAGAACGAGGGTGCTTTTGATTGGCATTCGACAGGAATCTGGGCGCACTTGAAAAGTGAAAAATTTATTGATCTGTCACACGAAATTTTAGCATTCTTTTGATCATTTGGGTTCCTGTGAAATCGGAAAGGGAAAAATTTTCCCGAAATTGTATTTTGATTTGCTAAAAAATAATCTGAAAATAAGCTAGATGATTCATTTGGTACAAAATGTCACATTTTTAAACACGTTTTTCTACAAATTTGCTATCTCTGGGTCATCTCTCCATGATTTTCAAATGTTATTTGTATGCATTCTAATTCAAAGAAACAAAAAATCATTTGTAAAAAATGGAGAGAAGACCCAGAGACCATAAAAAATGAACTTTTTCCCCAAAGAATTCCAATGTGTAAATGCGGTGCTTCATTGTCGTTTTAAAAGCCAAGTTGAATGTGTAGCGATGATAGCTCAGTAATATGCGTTACCCGTCCAGTGCAATGGAGACGAAAATTTTTGGTTCGATTCTCACATGGAGTGTTAATATTTTTGTAATACAAGCAATCAATTCTTTTGTCAGTTTAACTTTTTGTATCGATTTATTTTAAAATGGATAAATTCTGGTTCTATTGCACCGAGAGCGAAAGCAATTCTTCCAACCTACTAATACTTTAATATACACATGTACTTGTCATTGCATCTAGCTATACCCTTATTATCTTGTAGGTGTTTATTATTTATATGAAGCATTACTATGTTAAAGTTTGATTACTAAGATAAGCGGACCTAAATATTAGAATTTGACATGTTATTTCAAACTAAATATAACATTTTCCTATGTGCGTAGCTATGTAAAGCCTGTCCAGCTGTGGTCAGCCGACCAAATCATGGACATTTAAACTATAAATGTTTCGTACACATGATTCCTGCAGACCACACGCCAAACACGCCCATCTTCTTTAAGTAATACTTAGGGGACTTAAGTATAAAATATATATCTTAAGTGAATTTTTAAACTTAAGAATATACTAAGAAGTTTTATGAATCCCAGCCCAGGTTCTTGAGGATGTAATTTTGTGTATTCTTTTATACCTACAGAATGGAATATGACTTAGTTACCATAATTTATTAATTTGTGGAGGATGTTAATTCATGGATAAGAGGTAACCACAAATTCAACAAAAATAGAGCCACCACGAAATCTAATGATTCTACAAAACCTCCTACTTCTAAAAAACAAACTACACAGGTGCAAATATTTATTGATCAACAATTGCTTGTAAATTTCTTGCAGCATACATAAAATGTTAATACTTTTTAGAATTGTTCATTGCAAACTACATGTAAAGTAAAATGAAAACAAAGAAAACCCCAAAATAAAATGAAAAAAAAATCATTGACTGAATTCTTAACTGGATGTAAATTATACATGTCTTTGGTCTGTCTCAAACAATATCTTTGAAAGAGTCCTTATCAAGCAATAGCTGAAAAAGGTCAGGGCGGCTTCTACGAGGACTGTCCGTGCACGCCATACAGTATGTCCTCACTGCCTGCATTAATTGGCCCACGCACCAGTTTCTGGACAGTACTGTTGCTACAACTTCCTCTAACTGTCAGAACACAAACAACTTACAATTAGTTTAGATTGGCATTTGAATTTTATGATTTAATGTCATTTTCCAACCACATTTGAATTTTATGTGTAAATGTCATTTTCCAATCACAGATATTGAACGCATAAATGCACCAATAATGCACACATGATAATTCTTTCAGAAATAGTATAATGGAACATTATTTACAAATATAGTGCTTGCCTTTATAATGCTATCCCAACATAATCTAAAATTTTGAAGTCCAGTTTTTCTGTAAAATTTTGAAGCCCAGTTTTTTTCCCCATCAGTAATATCCTAATCATATCAACAAAATACTGTTAAAGTATTATGCATTTCTGAATGTGCTAGATATAAATATGACTATGTGTGAAGACATTTAGCTATGAACTTGAAGTAGTGGATGCTGTTTTCTGCCAAAATCACTAAAAGAATATGCCAAATGCAGTATGTTTATACATGTAGTAAATTTCTGTTAAAATTGGTCAGAAACCCTTAAATCAGGATTTCATTCCCCTTCTCCCAACCTCTAAACCAAAGTTACTGACCACTATTGCCAAGAACAGAATCCTAGAATCAGTCTTAATCTCTATTCTTCTATGGTTATTGCAATGATCAAAGAGATGCCGGGGCCATTATTCTCCAATAAATCACAAACGTCATCAACAAATTATCAAAAATTTTCAATCAGTTTCCTCTAATTTTGACTGTTCACTAGGAAAATGATAGAGGTATCTTTTGATTGTGACTCAAATTGGTAGGAAAACATTTGGGTTTGGATTACACTTTACTTTTTCTAAGCTTTGAGATAAAATGAACAAGGATAGCATTTAATTGTGATGTCATAAGACACTTATGATGATGTCCAAATCTAGCTTCTGCATTTCTCTTTATGTAAGTTTTAATATTCGCCTTAGTAGGACAGAAATAATTCCTGCTTCAGAGGAATTGTTGGAGAATATACCCCTCAGTCTCAAGATTTTGTTGGCAATTAAATACCGAGCCAGTAGGGTGAGGTTTTAATTTGCCAACAAAATCTTGAGACTGAGGGGTATATTTTCCAACAATTCCTCTGAAGCAGGAATTATTTCTTAAATCATATTTAGTAAGTCATCATAGATTAGTCATGATAAAAGATTATTTCATTTCCCTTAAAAGATTTTATAGAAAAAAATTTAATCAATGTTGAGGGAAAGCTTTAAAATATTCTACAAAGATTAAATTTTCCTTCAAAATGATGCAATTCCAAGTACATGTACTAGTATCATGTCAAGTTCCTGAAGTACAATGGTTGGTAAAGCAATAGAGTAGTTATATTCTTGCAGAAATTTTACTGAAATTCTCTTTCACTGTATTACCAAAGAAATTTTAGTAAAGCTCTTGCATTTCACTTTTACCTGCTGTAAATCTTCATGATGAAATGTGTAGTATATCAGGTGAGGGACACCAGCATAGGAGGCTGCCATCCACTGCAACATGCACTTCAAATGGACATCCCCTCTGAAGGCCCCACATCCCCAATTCCCAGTGGCAACTGGACGACCACTAGCTTTCTGCAATTAACATGCATAGCATTGGAAAACAATTTGAAATCTACTTTTCAGCCAAATTCTCTACTGTGTTATAAGTTTTTAGTGAACTGAATAAAAAATTTAATTTCTTTAACAAGAGGCCCAAGGGCCTTAATAGTCACCTGAGAATAATACATGTACAACCCTGTAAAGGATCCAATGGAATGAAAATTTAATAATTATAAAATATTTGAAAATATTTGAAGCAAAATAATTTTTGTTTTCCTTCATCAATAGATGCTATATGCCAAAATGGTTGAAATTGGTTCAACAATTCTTGCGAAGAAGAAAAAAATGTTCAAAAGTTTATGATTGACACGATAGATAAACATGATGACGGACAAAAACAGATAGCAATAGGTCACCTGAATAATGCAGGTGACCTAAAAACAGGTATATGCAACATTCATGTATGCTAAAAAATATTATACAGCGGTAACATCCACATTCAATAAATAGCTCTTTATTCTACTTCAAAATTAATGGTACTCATAAAATATTTGTTTTACCTTTTTAAAACACTCCATTTCTCTGATGATGAATTTCACTGATGTATCCAATACCTGCTTTGCAAGAATATCTGCAAATTCTTCAATTCTATAGCATGGCACATCAAGAGCATCACTGTATTCTTCAGTTGAGGTTGAATCTGTATCCGAAGAATCCTCTGTCTGTTTCTGCATCTTTAGTTCCTCAACAGCTGTTAAAATGGCATCCTCCACAACTTGACTAGAAATGCTATCAGCCAGATTTAGCAGACTATCAGGAATTGGGGAAGAAGTTGTGAATGGGACATCTCTTTGAGCAAATCCTGAACTGATAGAACCTCTTAACACTGTCTCTATAGACTCTAAGATAATACCTTGAGCAAGTCTATCTGCAAAATCTGAGATGGTCTCCTGGGATAATTCTAGAAAGGGAGGTGCTTGTCTAAAATCACCACCTCTTATTCTGCTTCCCGTGCTTTTCTTCCTTTTTCGTTTAATGCTGGAACTTTTTGTTGAGGATCGGCCAAAACTTGAAGACAAGAGTTCCTCTTCAAAGCTAGATAACATAAGGTCCTTAAATCCACTTTTACTACTGTGGAAAGATGTGGACGATCCACTTAGGCTGCAGACTGAAGTGGATGACATTGGTATATGGAGAGGAGGGATTCTACATTCAGTTTTCATCAATTCCTCAGCAAACCTAGTATATACAAAAAATATTCATTTTATAAGCCAATTCCCTCTGAAAATCTGTGATGAATAATAAGCCATGAATAATAATCCTGAGACCTAAAAAACTTTTTAGTTTTAGCATGTATGTACGATTTCAAAAAATTCTACCAAAAAGTTTGACTGCTTACCTGGAAAGGGTGGGATCCTTGAATCCACATGGTCCCCTTTCATGGAAATCTTCAATAATCCATCTTCTATCAAGCTCTCTAGCATATTCCACAAGGTCATCCTCTGTACAGCTTTTTGATTTCTCTGTGTAGCGACGAACTCCTTTCTTGTTGTCTTCCAACAACTGTCTGGCTGCCTGGCTGGACAACTTCATTGGTTCACTACTCCGACGGGCAAAACTAGAGCCGTTGATGCCTGAACTTTGTTGCACTTCAATAAATGCATTAGTCAGCAGGTCTCTGGATAATGAAGAAGCACAGCATTCAATGACATTGGAACCTGAAATATCTTCATAAGATTCTCCGCGCAAAATTTCCCCAGGATGGATTAAACTGTTCCCTTTGACAATGAGGGTCTTCTCTGGTAGATATCCTGATGCACTAAATTTGAGTGTTGAGCCTTCAAAACTTTTCCCTGTTTCCTTCTGAACATCTTTCAGTGCATCAGTAAATCCAGACATTATAATGTTTTCTGCAATCTGACTATAAGCACCACTGAGTTTATCACTTTGTGAGAGATCATCCGTCACCAAAAGAGTGGGGACTGTAAAGGAGTCTTGACTATTAGAGGACTCAGACATTGTCTTTGATACAGCATCACTGTTTTTGTTCAAAATCACAGTGTCATGAAACTGAACATTTTTAGGGGATTTTGAGGGACTTGAAGACTGATCCCATCTTTTCCCAAAACTATTGCTCAGTACAGACAAGTTATCTTCTTTTTCACTTGAGGAATCTGTAACAGGATTAGAAACATTCAAATCACTGTCTTCTAAAGTTTTACTTTGTGATGGAGGACCTAAACTTTCCTGTACTATTTGAACAGCACTATGTATAGCACAATCCACTAAATTTACTGCCGCAATTCGCAGTTCGGCTTCATCCACTAATGGATAATTGTCTTCAACAATGCTCCCTGGGTAATAGCCACCCAAATATGTATCACAATTATTCATATCACAGTCTTCATCGGAATCAGAATTAACATCAGGCTCTCTAACTAGTGGAATGTCAGGAAGTGATGATTTCTTATCAGAACATTTCTCAGAAGTCAAATTGGAAAGTGTAGAAAAAGCAGAGGGAAACAACTCAGATATAAATTCATTTGCAAATTTTCTAGCAATGGATTCAGGAATAATGGGTGAAAAGCAATTGGTCCTTGGTAAGTTTTCTTCTGTTTCAGGTTTGTAAGCTTTTGGCTTCATAATACAGACTTCTGGGGCACTGTCATCAAAATCTTTGACAACACTTTTCTGAGCTGCCACAGCAGTGCTTTCCTGTATAAGTGACATGGCTAAGCTATTAGCAAAATCACAGATCACAGGACACCCCTCTTCTTCAGTGATAGTCTTCTGAATAATAGACTGGTCCCTTCGTTGATAATTTTCATAATACTCTTCAAGTTCTGAGCTGAAATCTGAGCTATGCCAAGTACTACCGCTGCTCCGTCTGGATCCAATGTCACTTAAATTTGAGCTCCGCCTCCTAAATCGGCTCACCCAATCCTGGCATTCCAGATCTGCCTGATCCTGACTCTCATCTAAGTCCTCTTGTCTCCTCAGAAAACTGGAACTTGAGGAGCGGTCCTCACATGAGGAGTGGCTATCTGACCTCTCAAATCCATGTTGGCTACAGGCTTCCTGGATTGCTGAATACAGGATTCTGGTGACCAGTCCATCCACCATGTTGGTTATTCCATGCAACTCTGTCAGAGAAAAAACCTCACATAAATTTCTCCACAAAAAAAGCACGTGAAAATTTCATATGGATACCTAATTAAACGCTAGTCCTACACTGTAACTGTGTAGAATGTGATATACCTAACCAAGCATTCCACTTCAATATCTTGAACACACTTTAACCCTAGAGCCTTTCTAATTTTTACTATTGCGATACAAATACTTTCATTAGTTTAGCTGCAGTTAAAAAAAAGAATTATTTTCATAAAGTTTATGCTGATGTGATAATCAAGAATTGTAAGAAAGTCTTCACATCATGTTTTATATTATGTAACATGAGATCAATGGACCTGAAAGGTCACATGAAAATCACACATATATAAAACAAGAAGTCTGTGAGCCAATGCTCACTAGTAATACCCCCGCTTTGATGTGAGTATACACTCTGATGTGAATGTACACAAGTTCAGTTATGGACAGACACAGGGATGATCAAAAAGTTGACATCAGATTCATACAAAAATGAATCCCATCGTATTGCAGGCCTATACAAAGAGTGTTCTAAAATTTCAAGCATCTGCAATCAGTAGTTGCTGAGAAAACTGTGACCAAAATTTGTTATGTATGGTACGGACAGACTCACAGATAAACAGGAAGTTGACATCGGATTCATACAAAAATGAATCCCACCATATGGCATGCCTAAACAAAGAGTGTGCTAAAATTTCAAGCATCTGCAATGAGAAGATGCTGAAAAACTGTGACGAAAATTTGTAATGTATGGTACGGACAGACGCATGGATAAACAGGAAGTAGATATTGGATTTGAACAAAAATGAATCCCACCATATCTCATGCCTAAACAAAGAGTGTGCTAAAATTTCAAGCATCTGCAATCAGTAGTTGCTGAGAAAACTGCGACAAAAATTTGTTATGTATGGTACGGACAGATGCCCACATAAACAGGAAGTTGATATAGGATTCGTATAAAAATGAATCTCACCATATGGCATGCCTAAACAAAGAGTGTGCTAAAATTTCAAGCATCTGCAATCAGTAGTTGCTGAGAAAACTGCGACAAAAATTTGTTATGTATGGTACAGACAGATGCATGGATAAACAGGAAGTTGACATCGGATTCATACAAAAACTGATCCCACTATATGGCATGCCTTAACAAAGTGTGTGCTAAAATTTCAAGCACCTGCGATCAGTAGTTACTGAGAAAACTGTGACGAAAAATTTCCGGACAGACAGACAGACAGACACACAAGGGTAAAACAGTATACCTCCCTCTCCTTCGGAGCAGGGGTATAAAAATCAAAACATTTTACTATATAAGACTACAAAAACCCTCAACTGTGGCCCAACTCTACTACCCTAAGATCTTGATTTGAATAAACTTGAAACTACACTACATCAAGATGCTTGCATTTATCAAAATGACTTAGCTGTAGCTTTATTGTTCTCAAGAATATTATTATAGTGCCTCTGCAAGAATATTATTATAGTGCCTCTGGCTCAGGTGAGCTAAAGATGAAAATAAAGCAAATAACACAGAAAAGCACCTGAACCCTGACCAAAATTATGGCAGTCCCGCAAGCACATCCAGACCCCAAAACCATAAACTGAGAACAGACTTGTCAAAGTTTACATTATTAAACACACATATTTAACAAGTTGCAAGTTTATAAATTAGTCAAATACAGACATATGATGAAAATTTTGTTTTATTTTCAAAATTATTCGCCATTTTCACAGTATTTGTGTTTTTTCATACTCACTTATGTTATGATGCACTCTGCATCAAAATATATGATTAAACCCTTAACAATTATGACCAAATTATGACAAAATGGTACCCCTAACAAGTTAAATGATATATAACACTCCCATGTTCTAGACAATAAAAATATTAAAGATTTACTACCTAAAATATGGGGTATATTTTGCGTTATGCTGTTGCAGCTGAAAAATGGCTTTGTTTTCCAGTTTTTGTTTCAGGAGATTTACAATAAAAACTCTTAGTTATAGATGTCAAATCATTGTGAAATTATCCCTCTTTTATATGCAGTTTACTGTATGTAAATCAACAAAATATTAGCGAAATAATGTTTAAATATGTGAAAATGCAGATACGTTATGAAATTTAATAAAATTCTACTGTTTGAACTTGCAGTTTAAAAAAATATATGTTAATGCATTACTCTTACTTTAGGTTCATTTTAAAATTAGAGTTAAATGATAAATGAAACAATAGAGAAAAGTTTGAGTGGATTCTTCGAAACTTAAGAAAATGACACATTTTCTTCTTACTGGCATCAAAATGTCCCAAAATTCTGTAGTGTCCGCAACATGTACTTATTCTGGAATGCATTATGAATTATATTTCTTTTATTTTACATGTAAGAGGCCAGTACAGCTACTTATGTATCTACCAAAAAATATCAGACTTTAGCTCAGTGTTGCTTGGAATTCTGGCAAATATATTGTGTTTTGTAGAGTCCGCAACGCTGTAGAGTCCGCAACAGCTTTTTAAATTCACAGTTTCTTCAAAAAAATGTAACATGATTTCAATTGATCATCACTATAATTGTCCAAATATTCAATACAAATATGTAAGGTTACAAAACTTAGTGGAACTATAACTTCATACTTTGAATAACACCCATAACGACTTGTTTATACATAATATTCAAAATCTTTCAATTGTCAGTCTTATGTTATATATTGAAAGTTAATTTTCATGTGGTATTTAAAACTGAATAAGTGGAAACTAAAGAATATATCAAGATGTTAATTGTTAATTAATAAGTCTAGTTCTAATTAATACAGTTGTGTTGCGGACACTACAGTAATAACTATATACCACATTCATTTATTATTTTCACTTTTTATTTCATTAAATATTTTTGAAATGTAAAACACTTCTCTGATATTTTGCTCCTTTGATAATACAATTAGTTAACTGGATTAAGATAACAAATGGTGATTTTTGTACAAGATAACACTTCAAACTTACTGGTATATATATGGGTTTTACTTTCCAGGCCGGGTAGCCATTTTTGACTAGCCTTTTTTATTTCCCTATAATATAACACCATTTACTGTACATATAGAACTAGTTAGAGATTAAGATTTTCAGTTTACTCCATTCAAACCAAATATGGTGTCATATAGCAATATTCAATATATTGTAGTGTCCGCAACAATTTCAATACTGAAAAAAAATTATGGATGCCTCAGTAAATTCTTTAATTCATTGAATTTATCTATAAAACTATTTGTTATAACTTCTTTAATTATATTAAAATAAGTAAAATCATAGACATTTTTTAAAACTGCAAAACAATTATACATCAAGAAATAATTAATGGTCCTTGTTATGTGGTTATTTTCATCTCAATAAACCACATTCTGCATCTTTTTATATGATACATTTTCAAGAGTTGATCCGGTGGTATATAATTCAGCCTAGAAATGAACATTTATCAACAATTATTTTTATAAAAATGACAAAAGATTATTCTTATGGTTACTTGTAGTGTCCGCAACAAAAATTCTATGCATTTTCAAAGCTAGACAAGATACAAACGAAGATATCCAGGGTGTTATGACAAATGTATTTGAAATTTAGAAGTATTCAATTTAATTTTCACATGATAATTATATAGGTCTTATGTGTGATTGTAAAAGTAGATAAACTTAAGGAAGGGAGATAAATTAGGCAAAAAAATTAGCAAGTCATTAATGTGAATAAAATTTTTGTTTTCAAAGAGAACCATAAGATTTTTCTTTTATTTCACTGCAATTAGGTACATAATCAAAACTTGCAAGAAGTTTGGAATAAATAAATATCTTTAATATTTTATTTTAGACATAACAGGTGTAATGTAGTGTCCGCAACACAAGGTCTCGCCCAAAATTTGACTTCGCATAACTTTTTTCGTAAGAATGCTTATATAAAAAAAATTTGGGACTCATTTGCATAGATATTGTACTTTCTAGAAAACATGTCAATAATGTGCTGTTTGACTTTTTATTTTTTGGTCCAAGTGCAACACAATTAGCACAAATACTGTGAAAATGGCGATTACTTATTTGAAATTTTGACCTGTCTTTTCTCTTTTTATGTGTCTTTGGGCCAGACAAGTTTGGTCCAGGTAAGGCTTATAGTTTCCTGGGAAATGGACCTGCTCCAGAATCTTGAACTGGGAATTTGATGCCAAAGCTGAAAGTATACTATAATCTCATCTTATCTTTGTTCAGGTAAGCTGAAAACATTGAATGTCTCTGAACAAATTATATGTACATGTATCTGTAAAAGTTGCTCTGCTTTCTTGACATTTGGGTTGATTTACCTTGGGTATAGTTTTCAGTATCACTATTTCCATCCTCAGATGCTGTCTGATACTCTTCACTATTAGCTATTAGCAAATCACACGGCTTGTTACAAATGGACACTGTCGTTTCCTCTGATTGGTTCTTTGTATCTATACAGCTTTTCCCGCACTTTGCAGAGAAGCCAACAAAAGCTTTGTTGAGGTCTCTGAGATAATAGTGATCTTGGTACTGTTTAGATGGGGAGCAGTTTCTGAAGCTGACAGCATCTATAGCACACAGTGTGTTCTGTAACACTCTGTTCTCATCAATCTGTAAATTAATACATACATGTACATGTTAAAAAGGTGAAAGGGTACACATGTACATATTAAAAAGGTGAAAGGGTACAATTTATAAAACAATTAAAGCAAAAATTAATCAGGCCCAATGCTCATTATCTTACTGATAAATAAATACGTTTTTGTAGATAAACAATGCCCTAACATAGGAAGTTGATCATAATTTAAATATAAATCTACATGTACATTAAAGCTGCTCATGTTTCAAGATGAGAGTTTGTAAACTACCCATTCTTTGGAAGGTGGGTTTTTTTTATAGCTTTTCCTATATTTCTTCATAAAGCTTTGACCCTTTTTTGCTGTTGCACCCTAAACCCAGGGGGCAATGATTTGAATTTGAGCCTTTACCTGAAGTGAACTAAAATTTTTTCGGAAATTGTTTGAGTTTTTTTTTCAATTGTATTGTAAGAAAACAGAAGGAGTATGGAAGTCCCATCTCCTTTCTATCCTACGGTGCATCCGTTTCCTTTACCTTTGGACAATCCTGGTGATTTCCAGCATAAGTTAAGCTTGGTCCATAACCTGCAGTTTCTGAGAATTGTTCGTAACCCTGAATTATAATGGCCTCATTGTCGTCCATATGCTCCATAAACAACATGGAAGATAGAAGCTCTGGACACACAGTGAATCGAATTTCCTCCTGTGTAAGTAAAAAAGCCAGTTTATAATGAAGTAAAATTAAGCAACAAAAAACTACTGGTACACATTTTTATTTACTGATAATAAATTTAAAAAAATAATTTTTTTTTGGCACCCTACAAAGGCATTGTTGAAAAAGCAATGGTTTCTCTCATACAACCATTTGTTAACAGAAAACTACATGTAAATTTAGATCCTGAAACCCATTTTAATTTTCCACCTTGGAGACAAATAAAGACATTTATTTTTCAATTTCCAAGTCTTACAGAAACATAGACTTTAATCTTTAGTTGCCCTATAAATACAAAAATAGGAAGCTCAAATCCATGTACAATGCCACAAAACTGACTTTTTACACTATTTATGTTATAAGAGACAGAGATGACAACTGTTTCATAATGCCATAAAAAAAATCTTCACTTCCCATTTTTTCAGTTGATACATCAATAAATTCTTATTTATTAACTTAGTGTCTGACATTATTTTTTTAGGATAAATATGTAGTAGAAGTGTTACATTTTATTAGAATTCATTTGAATCATTTCGTATAAAGGCAGTGCACTATCAATTTACTCATGATTATTAAATGATAAATTAAACTCATAAAAATACAACCTAACTTAACACTGAACAACAGATATTTTATTGAACTTGTCCACACACAAATGGATAGCATACACATTTGGCAAACTGACTTAATTCTAAATCTTAATCAGTGCTTAAAATTCATGGAAAAAAATGCTAGCCATTACATTCAAGTCAAAAAACCCCTAATTTGCTCTACTAGGCAAATATGATTGGCTTATTACCTGTCTTGCCTGTCCTTAGCAATCTAACAATCATTAACATCTATGTTAAAAAACTTTGTAAGCAACATGTCATTTACAAAATTGAACTACTTTTATTCAAATTTTCACCTCTTAAAATCTTCTTGTAATCTTTTTATATATAGGTACATGTGTGTAATATCTGTGCATGTGTGTCATACATGTACATGTGTGTCATACCTGTACATGTGTGTCATACCTGTACATGTGTGTCATACTTGTACATGTGTGTCATACCTGTACATGTGTCATATCTGTACATGTGTGTCATACCTGAAGATGTGTCGTACCTGTACATGTGTGTCATACCTATACATGTGTCACACCAGTACATTTGTGTCATACTTGTACATGTGTCAAACCTGTACATGTGTCATATCTGTACATATGTGTCATATCTGTCCTATACATATGTCATACCTGTACATGTGTGTCATACCTGTACATGTGTGTCATTCCTGTACATGTGTGTCATACATGTACATGTGTGTCATATACCTGTACATGTGTGTCATTCCAGTACATGTGTGTCATTCCAGTACATGTGTATCATACCTATATGTGTGTCATTCCTGTACATGTGTATCATTCCTGTACATTTGTGTCATACCTGTACATTTGTGTCATTCCTGTACATGTGTGTCATACCTATATGTGTGTGTCATTCCTGTACATGTGTGTCATTCCTGTACATGTGTGTCATTCCTGTACATGTGTATTATACCTGTACATGTGTGTCATACCTGAACATGTGTGTCATACCTGAACATGATTGTCATACCTGTACATGTGTGACATACCTGTACATGTGTTTCATACCTGTACATGTGTGTCATTCCTGTACATGTGTGTCATACATATGTGTCATACCTGTATACGTTTGTCATACCTGTACATGTGTCATAACTGTACATGTATGTCATACCTGAACTCTTCCCCTCCCTAACACTCCTCCTCCAATGTATTTGTTGGCAAAGTCCACCTGAAATACATGTATAACATTACACAGCATAAAATCATGAAAATTCCTTTATCACACTTCAGAAAAATTTGTAAAATATTGATTGGCTAAAACAGATCACATGATGCCCTGAAATTTTCTAATATACCATCTCTGAGCAGGGGGTGTATCAATCATTGGGTGCTAGATTCTGTTTTATACAAGTATTTCATTAAAAAAAAAAAACACATGCAAACAGTTTGCTTGTTGTATTTTATTGTTCATATCTTTAACTTTGGTGATGTAATACTTAGAATATATGATGTTCAATTATATTTTGAATCACATTTTTATTTTATGTTACTGAACTCTAAACAAATCTTGTAAAGGTCTTCAGTGGGATGAATTCATTACAAAGTTAGTTTGAGACCTAATATGGAGTCATTCAGGGTGTAAATGGATATCCACGCTGGGACTTGGCTTCACCTCACTCGATCTGGATTTCCATTTCACACCTGAATGACTCCGTATTAGGTCCTAAACTTTTTGTGTAACTAAAAATATTCTTATCACAAGCTCATGAACATGAGATGCACATAAATATCAAAATAAGCACTGCAGTGCTTTTATCCATGACTAATTAATTAAGCATTTTTCTCGTATATAAAATTAAAATTCATTTGAAGTTTTATTTTTTCATTTGCTGAGGTTAATATTGTTCCCTATCGCAGAATTTCCCTACCTCAATTGCCTCTGGGACAGAATCTTCAATCTGACCCTCATGTTGCACAGAGAAAGGGCAGAGATCACAGTCACTGTTGAGCCATGTGTCTATGGTGGGTAGCTCCTCGTAAGGGATAACCTTTATTTAATACACACATGAGTTAAATCAGAGGATAGACTATCCTGTCAATTAGTCATTAGAAAGGAATTAACAACAACTTTACTTTTATTGTGGATTATGGTCTGTTAAATTATGTTAAGTGTAGTAATGACATTGATATTAGACAAATTGTAAAGTCATGAGGAAGCATTACTATGAAATGGCAGTCAAATTTGAAAATCTTGAAAAGAGAAGATTATTGATATTTACCTGGCGATGGAACCTTATGTCACCTTGTACACTGCATGGATTGCCTCCAACTCTCTCAAAATAATTGAGAAAACATTGAAGTTTTGCATTTTGTGAAGGACTGAAAAGAAAAACAATTATTTCTCATAAATGATGTCAATACTTATAAATCTATCTTAAAGTTTAAAAAATATTGACAGTGAGGGTTAAAAAAATATAATATTCTTCATGTTGAACTTTTTTAAAGCTTTATTCTTGACTTTCAATCAGATAAGTTACATCGTAATGTAACCATTGTCAATTAAATGTAATATTCCCAATGTTATTCTTCATTTATATTTTAAAGCAAGATAAAGAAGCCTTACTGATTTGTTTAAAAATTTCAAAAGTGCTTTTTACCTTGGTAATAGCTTGAAAAAATTGGCAAAACTTGTGGAATTAAGTTTTGAATTGTAGAAGCGTGTTGTTTCCCGTCCATCGAATAAACAAAGAAATGCTGCAGCAATAATAGAGGCCACAAAATGACGATTCAGCAATTGATCTCCAGCTTTAAATGAAAAAAAACATAGGTTATCAAAGATTACAAAGCTCACCCCAACAACTGTTATTTTTAAGTATGGCAAAGTCTCACACCAAATAAATGTTTTGATAGTGTGCATCTTTACATGAAACTTTGACGCAAGTCAAGTTTAGTCTGGATAGGATTTTTAATAACTAGGGAATGGATTTGCACCAAAAACTTTTTCTGTTCAATCATCTGGAAAATGTAAGATTCAGCATCTGAAGCAAGTCTGGTAGTGTACATCCTTAGATACATCATCAATGCAAGTTTGGTCAGCATAAGCTTATAGTAACCTGTGAATAAACTTCAATTATCATTCATCCAGAAAATGAAGGTCAAATCCAGAATCCAAAGCAAGTCTTGTGTTGTCATTTCTACAAGAATCATTCATGCAAGTTTGGTCCAGATAGGAATTATAGTTACTTGGGAATGGACCTGCTCCACAAACTTTACTTGTTTACTCATCTGGAAAATGTAGGTCAGATCCAGCATCTGAAGCAAGTCTGGTAATGTACATCCCTAGATGCATCATACATGCAAGTTTGGTCACCATAAGGTTTATAGGTACTTTAGAATGCACCTGCTCCAAAAACTTTAACCTGGTCACTCATACAGAAAACAGGTCAGATCAAGCATCCAAACCATGATTACTAACTCACTTATGAATGAATTATTTCATTTTGTAGTAAATATAAACCATCAAGATACAGAATGCAAATTTCAGGATTGTTGAATCACCGTACTACCCCACCCTGAAAATTTCAGACCCCTGGGACTTCTATGTTTCCGAGCCAAAATCACATTAAAATTTAGTTTCCTAAAAATATCATCCAGAGGGTGAAGCATCAAGATTATTGGCATCCAAACTAACATGGCTCTACTATATTGCATTCTATAAAGAAAATACAAACATGTATCTTATCTTACCTCTATGCTGAGAACTAATTGGAAGAACCTTGTCTGTTGCAAACTTTTCAATGTCTAAAGCAAGACTAATTATCTTTGGTAGAGTTGACTGCAGAAATAGAACTTTTTCCTCCTCTGTTGAATCATGCTGGAAGAATTTCAAAAGACCGTGAAAAGTTGTTTCTTCAATATTAGCTTCCCTTGGCTCTTCATCATCTCCATTGAAGGTGTCTACAATCTTCTGATGATGCAGAGCTAATTGATAGAGGTCACATGGTTCTTGTGTTGACAATAGCTCTAATTCTTTCAAGAGATCTTGAATGTTGGGCCAACATGATTTTTCGGATGGAAACTCAACATACTCATAGGTATCATTCATGGTCCCATCCTTCTCTTTCTACAATATAAAGCCAACATGAAATATACTACCATAAATATTACTCTGTAGATCTAGTCTAAACCACAATTATCAGGGTATATAGGCACCTAGTAAGAATAATCTGTGTCTTCGGACAAGCCCTCACCACAGATAGAATATGTCCCATAAAATTGCAATGTAGCAAATCAGAGCTGATCCACTCCAAAGGGATTTTGCAAAATACAAAATGCACTGAAAATAACTACCAATTTAATCATAAAAACCTTTTTAAGTTTGTATATGCCATTTATCCAAAAAATTAATCCCTATAAAAAAAATCCATATAAAAATTAATCCATATAAAGACAAAAATTTCGTTTTCTCCAGAGTTTCTGAAAACTATCAGTCCTATTGCCAAAACGGATAGAAAATTGAAATGTCCGTCACAATTCCCTATATCACCAGTCTGCATGACTGATCAATTTCTGCGTAACAATCCACTGTTTTGGAGTTGTTTTTTTTTTTAAAGTTTTCGTTGTACCCATAAAGTTTGTCTTTTTATCGTAATCTCAAAAAGTCTTTAGCGAGTTACTTTCTGGCAATGCAGCAAAATAAACAGGGGCAGATAATTCTAATCTGCACTTCTACAAATAATCTAGAGAGTTCCGAATGTCAACATGGATGTAAATTCAAAGCAAGAAAAAAAATCCTGTTAAGCTGTATTCTTTCAAATTGTTTTGGAGGGATCCACTCCATTTGCTACATTGCAATATATGGGACGTATTCTAACTGTGGTTAGGGCTTGTCTGAAGTCACAGTTAGATTAATCTAATTAATTGTACTCTGATCTATTGCATTGTCTCACAATTGGTGTTGTTACGATCCGCAGAATCATTTAACGCTCAATTTGAGTACTTTCAAGGTCTAGTTAGGTTGGCATTGATGTTATGCAGCAATTTGATGTATACTTTCCGGTGAAATGTACCAATCCCAACCAATGTCATATTCTTTTGAAGGACATCATGAATTATACTAGGATTAATTCGGACTGGTAGAATTTCCTGTGGACTGGTAGAACACATTAAAAATCTTTAGTTTTCGGAAACTCTGGTTTTCTCAATGTTCTTTCGATGGAAGTAATAATTTCTAACTATTTAAAGTGTACAGGCTTCCCAGAATATTGCAAGGAAAGTCTAGAGAGAACAAGTTTGGGTCAGTTTCTGACCTCTCGTGCAATTCCGGGACGCCTCATCACTTCCGCTGCTTTCAGTTTCGGTGCTAGGTATCTACGACGTTTCGGTTTACTGCATGTTTTATGTGGCAGGTGCAAATTGGCAGATGATAGAAGGATTTATTCAATCATTTTTGAGGCTAGATCTCACCCGACACCCGTAGGAAAAGTGTAGATATTGAATAAAATCAGGTGTGAACCAAGGCACCCACTGGAATCCAGGATGGCGAGTTGCGAATCTTGTGTCTTTTTATATATTTGGAAATATGATATTTTGAAAATGCTAATTTCAGTGATTTTTTATTTTTATTTTGATGAGTCTATTTAGACAGACATAGAAAAACACACATACACAAAATACACCATCCTGAAACCAAGCGCCTATGATCTACTATTGCCCGATCAGACAAACATTATGATCAATTGTTTGAGCATGAGAGTGATGCCTTTTACCAGAGATTTGCCTAAAATTAAGATCTATCAATTATTTAATATTACATGTATTTGACTCATCACAATACTCATGATACAGAAGAAAAAAAAAGTTACCTGTTGTTGTGCTATAAAATACGGACTGAAATTATCAAATTTATATTAATCGTTACCTTTTCTCACCATTCAATGGTTTTAGAACATAAACATTAAGGGGTTTATTTCATCTATTTATGCGCAGATCTGAGATCAACAATCATTACAATGTCTCCACTTTTCCAATCGATGCAGTTAGTTCGTACTTCAAAAGTTCCGTTGGAAATTTGGAAAGAACGCAAGTTTTCCCGTTTTTAAATTTTTAGTAAAGATTTTTTTTCACAAATATAACGATAGAAATAAAAAATCAAACATTCTTCAACAAAAATATGTGTAACAATGAAATTTTCATAAAGTCTTTACACATTTTTGACATGATCCCTAATGCATTTTTCTTTCGGAACCCATCGGAAGATTTCCTTCTGATGAAAGTATAAACGAGGAGCACTGAATAAAGACATTGTAAAAAATTTTGAAATATGCATGAAGATAATTTTGCTGTTTTGGTTTCCACATGGAACTTTGTAAATACAAAATCATACTTTTATTTAAAAAATTAAGAAACCTGCCTCTTGTTTTAAACGTGCTTGAAATGAAACGCAAGGTCCCCCTTTTGTCAAACGTGTAAGAAACCCAGACAATTCAAAAATATGACGCACTACCCCTGAATTCTCATTTGTGAACCCCGGATATCGAAAATGTATAAATAGCCGACAGTTTTCGCAGTTTCACCACAGTCGGTGGTTCGCCATTATATAGGCGAAGACATCGAGAGGCCATTGTGGTGATATTTATAAACAATGGCTTACACCGCAGATTCAAATGCGCCTTTACGAGATGTTAAAAGAGTACAGTTTGGGATATTGAGCCCAGATGAAATTGTATGTGTTAAAATAGTATTAAAGTTATGTAATATTGCCTCTTGTAACTTTAAATTCAACGTATGTGAAAATCAACGCATATTGAAAGTATCTATGATTATGAAACTTGATTTGAATGAACGTAATAATAACAGGTGGAAAAAACACTGAAAATGCCCCTTTTAACAAATCAGGGATATTAATTATTGATTCTTTGCATTGGTATTGGATTAGTTCAAGGATTGGTTGTTTTCATATGTTTGTGTGTAATTTGAGTAACAATAAACGCAAGTGTATTTATACAGATAACTTCAATTAGCCCTTTCATGATAATTGTGGTACTACTCATTTGCAGGGCAAATTAATAAAGTTTGGCGGAGTTTTTGTTGACCGATAATTAAATGACGTATTTTAAACAATTGCTTTTACGCCAAATTTCCCCAAAATATGTCATTTTGCCCTGCAAAAGAGCATTAATGCAGTTATCGTGAAACAGTCTACTAGGTCTTTCATTTTTTTTTTTTTAATTTGAAATTGAAAGAAAAATCTACAAAATTTATTGTACATGTTGTTAGTTATAGTCATTTAAATCACTTTGCGAATTGCCCTTGCAGAGACGTATGTCAGTTACTGATGGCGGAATCAAGTACTCTGAAGTCACTGAAGGTGGCCGTCCAAAGCTGGGTGGACTTATGGATCCTCGCCAGGGCACTATTGACAGGACAGCTCGGTGTCAGACATGTGCAGGGAACATATCTGAGTGTCCAGGTCATTTTGGTCACATTGAGTTGGCCAAGCCAGTGTTCCACATTGGTTTCCTAGTAAAAACCATCAAAGTGCTCAGATGTGTCTGTTTCTTCTGCTCCAAGCTTCTTGTTGACCCGGTTTGTATTGTTCTGAAACAAATCTTCATTGGCATACACAACATTAATTAAGTAATTTGATTAAAATGAATCTTATGCAATGAAAAAATATGAATACATTGTCCTCTAGTTTATAGTTGTCAACTTCATTTCTTCAGACAAACCCAAAGATTAAAGAAATCTTGTCAAAGTCCAAAGCCTACCCACGGAAACGACTAGTCGCAGTTTATGACCTATGCAAGTCACGAAAAGTCTGTGAAGGTGGGGATGAAATGGATTCTAAGCTTGGAGATGAGCAGGAAGAACAAAAGAAGGTATAAAACCTTTTTATTGCAGAACACCTCGGTTCCTTAGACCACAAAATAACTAACATGGTCTTGGATTCCCCTTCTTATAACACAAAGAAAAAGAAGTGCAAGTATATACTAGTGCATGTACATATACAGAATTCTCTATCCCTTAGTAACCCTACCCTAGGTAGGAACATTTGGCCACTATTCAGATATCTACAATAGGACATTGATTATGTTTAAGAATTCATTTTGGTCTTTGGGCACTCGATTATGTTAAACATATATATACAAAAATGTTTATGTAGGGGCATGGCGGATGTGGTCGATACCAGCCCAAAATAAAAAGAACTGGACTGGAGCTGATTGCTGAGTGGAAGGACACGAATGAGGACTCACAGGAGAAAAAGATTGTACTAACAGCTGACAGAGTTCACGAAATATTCAAGAGAATATCTGACGAAGAATGTCAGGTATTAGGAATGGATCCTAAGTTTGCTCGCCCAGATTGGATGATTGTGACCGTAATGCCAGTGCCCCCATTGTCTGTCCGTCCTGCTGTTGTCATGTTTGGATCAGCCAGAAATCAGGTATTTATCAACAGTGATCCGAATTTTCTATGATATTATTTTTATGTGAACGAGTAAATTTTGTTATTTTGGAGGTCATTTTAGAAAATGTTTCAAGTAAACAAAACAGTTAACAATTAACTTTGATTGACAGGATGACTTGACACACAAACTGGCTGACATCATCAAAGCAAACAACCAGCTCAGGCGAAATGAACAGAATGGTGCTGCATCACACATCATTGCAGAGGACATGAAGATGTTGCAGTACCATGTTGCTACTCTGGTAGACAATGAACTCCCAGGTCTGCCAAAGGTTAGATACCATACATTGTGGTAATAGACATTAGCTCAGCTATTATGTTTGTTAATGAAAGTGTACATTCATGTACATATAATTATTTTGCTGTACATTGGTCATGTATTAAAATTTCATAACACAAGTACATGGTACTTGTTCATACATATACAAACTTTTCAAAAGTGAAAATTTATTATGAATAGACTAGTCATTGATGGAAAAGTTATCATTTTCAGGCAGTTCAGAAGTCTGGCCGTCCTCTGAAGTCAATCAAACAGAGGTTAAAGGGTAAAGAAGGCCGTGTCAGGGGAAACTTGATGGGAAAACGTGTTGATTTCTCAGCCAGAACTGTCATTACTCCAGATCCTAATCTGAGGATTGATCAAGTGGGCGTGCCACGATCCATTGCACAGAACATGACCTTCCCAGAATTGGTCACTCCTTTCAATATTGACAGGTCTGTTCAATGTAGCTGATGAACTGTATCCTTAAAAATCCACAGTGGAATACTGTGCAATTGCATGAATATTATAAAAGTAAAACGAAAAAATATTGAAGTACATTTACATGTATTTTCCTTTCACTCTATTTAAAGGTTGTGATGGAAATGTAACTATGCACTTAAAAAATTACGATTCAAAGTTTAGAATAACTCACTGATAAGATGTTGCGTATTCCTTGTACATGTTTATTTCATCTTTAATTCAGAATGCAAGAACTTGTGCGGAGGGGATCAAATCAGTATCCAGGTGCTAAGTACATCATTCGTGACAATGGTGAAAGAATAGATCTGAGGTTTCACCCCAAAGCAAGTGACCTCCATCTGCAAATTGGGTACAAGGTCGGTCATAATTTTGGTTATACATGTAATATACAGTATTTGCAAGCAAAGCTTTACCTTCCTTTAAACATCAAGTAGGATATTTGTTTTTCAAAGTTTATGCACTTCCAGAGTAAAGAAATTTTTTTTAAATGTTAACAGGTGGAGAGACACATGCAGGACAATGACTATGTGGTGTTCAATAGACAGCCCACTCTCCACAAAATGAGTATGATGTGTCACAAGGTGAAAGTTCTACCCTGGTCAACATTCAGACTTAATCTTAGGTATGGAAGCACTGGTCTAGAGTATCATTTTATAACCCATTATCAATACAGTCAAACTTCATTATCTCGAACTAAGTGGGACGGAGAAAAAAAAACATCCAAGGATTTGAGATATACAGGGTAAAATACTTAAAGACTTCCAAATCACTTCATCATATCCATGGTATTCCTAGATATCAGTGTTCGAGATATCGAAGTTCAGCTGTATATAAAAACTTTTTAGTAAGAGTGCAATGATAAACCGTTTGACGGTATATCGTGGTATATTTTTCCACGATTTAATTCATGATACACTAAACTGATACCGCGGTTCGGTTCAATCGGTCCAGAATTATCCGAACCGTCCATTTTGTTTCCTTGTTTACAATTTTAAAATGGCTTCCGCGCAAAACCTGAAGTCGGCATAACGCATTAACGGCAGTTAAACTCGCCTCCAGCATCTTACAGACCTCAGATTTAACACGGAGAAGGACTTTATGTGATTAAAAGTTATAGATGTTAAGACAAATGATAAACCCTTTAGATCTAAACATATTCTTTGGTAATACATGATATCTCATCACGCGTGTATTTCAATGAAAATTCGCTGTCTTGTTGACTAAAACGTGTCAACACGAGAAATATGACAACTGGTTTTCTACGTAAATAAAAGGAATAAAAGAATGAATGTCTTCCTTTTTCATTCCAATTTAAAAGGAAGACTATTAGGAAAGGTCCCCGTAGTTCCCTGTAAATATTCATCACTGGTTTAGAATATTGTCACAACCCGAAGATCTACCTTTCAATCAAGTTAACAAAATGATATTTTAATTATTATCAAAAATATGAACATTTGATATAACCCTGTCAAGTTTTAAAAAAAATATTCTGTCAAACTTGAAAGACTTTTAACCTTTTCATGTATCGTGATACGTATCGTATCGTGAACTGAATACCGTGATACGTATCGTATCCTGAGGTTAGTGTATCGTTGCACCCCTACTTTTTAGTCTTATTCTGAAGCTCATAATGATTGGCAAATTAATGTTAATTAAGATGACATTATTTTGTGTTGTTTTTAGTGTAACCACACCATACAATGCTGATTTTGATGGAGATGAAATGAATCTCCACTTGCCCCAGTCATTGGAAACCAAGGCAGAAATCTCCAACCTGGCCCTGGTACCTAGAATGATCATCACTCCACAGGCCAACAGACCTGTCATGGGGATTGTGCAGGACACACTGACTGCTGTCAGAAAAATGACCAAGAGAGATGTTTTCTTAGACAGGGTGTGTATTTACAATTGTAGACAAAAAATGAAACTGGGATTTGACTTCTGTAAAATATTTTCTTTGACAGAAGGATAATATTGAAGGCAAATCATTTACAACTTTATTATCTTAAGTGTGCATTGTGGAAATTCAGGTTGACATGGTCTTTTCAAGCACTTAAGGCATTTAACACATGAAAATCTTGTTCTATAGGGCCAAGTCATGAACCTTTTGATGTTTTTACCTCGATGGGATGGCCATGTTCCTCAACCAGCCATTCTAAAACCAAAGCCCCTTTGGACAGGAAAGCAGCTGTTTTCACTGGTTATCCCAGGTCGTACCAATTGTATCAGAACCCACAGCACCCACCCAGATGAGGAGGATAAAGGACCCTACAAGTGGATCTCCCCTGGGGACACAAAGGTAAATGAGTCTTTGAAAAGCTTATCATGTTTCGCATATAAATTAATGAAGTACAGAGAAATCAATTCAGTGTGTGAGTGGCTAATTTTGAACGTTTGTCTTTGTAACAAACTAAGGATTGCTAAAGATTACTTGTTGTCTTGTATATAAAAAATAATTCCTAGAATATACATTTGTATAGGTACTGATTGAGGATGGCATGTTGATCAGTGGCATTCTGTGTAAGAAGACTTTAGGAACTTCAAGTGGGGCTTTGGCTCACGTTGTCTTCCTAGAGTATGGATGGGAGATTGCTGGTCTAATGTATGGCCATATTCAGACACTGGTTAACAATTGGCTGTTATTGGAGGGACACAGTATTGGTATTGGGGACACCATTGCAGACCCTCAGACTTACTTGGATATCCAGGAAACTATTAAAAAAGCCAAGGTAAACCTCATGTATAAAATTCAGTTATAAACACTTGGAGATGATGTGAGAACTAAAAAAAAGTTGTGTGTAGTAGTCGGTGGAATTTGCCCGTATCATTGCTATATATTGTAAATTTTATTTGCAGCATGATGTGATAGAAGTGATTGAGAAGGCACACAATGATGACCTTGAACCCACCCCTGGTAACACTCTCAGGCAGACTTTTGAAAATATGGTAAGTTCAAGAAATGTAGTTCTGTAATTGTAAAAAAGAATTAAAATCTGTACTCATTTCATTGTCTTTACCTACAAAAAAAAATAATGCTATAAGAATTTAAATTGATTTCAAGTAATTACCTTTTAAAGGTGAACAGAATTCTGAATGATGCCAGAGATAAAACAGGAAGTAAAGCCCAGAAATCTCTGTCTGACTACAACAACTTCAAAGCCATGGTGGTGGCAGGTTCGAAAGGATCCAAGATCAACATTTCACAGGTTTGTGAGCTGATAACAAACAAAAGACAATTTAGAAACTGAATACATGTATATTAATTTTTTGTAAGGAATGTATGTACATGTAGTCATGTCAAAGTGTAAGAACTTGAAAATAAATGTTTTCCTACTGGTTGTTTCTTTGAAAGGTTATTGCCTGTGTAGGACAACAGAACGTTGAAGGAAAGCGAATTCCATTTGGTTTCCGTCATAGAACTTTGCCTCACTTCATTAAGGATGACTATGGACCAGAGTCTAGAGGATTTGTAGAGAACTCATACCTCGCTGGTCTGACACCATCAGAGTTCTACTTCCACGCCATGGGAGGTCGTGAAGGGTTGATTGATACTGCTGTCAAAACAGCAGAAACAGGTAACAGTGCAGAAAGAAATTCAATGTGATACATTACATACACTATAATTTGCTTAATTTGATAATTTATGGACCAAACCTATAGTGTAAACATGATTTTAAAATAAGTAATTGAAAAAAAAAGTTTGCAAACAAAAAATTATACATTGTTAGGTTACATTCAAAGAAGATTGATCAAAGCTATGGAGAGTGTGATGGTTAAATATGATGGAACTGTACGTAACCAGGTAGAGCAGCTAGTCCAGCTTCGTTATGGAGAGGATGGTCTGGACGCGACCCATGTTGAGTTCCAGACTATGCCTACCCTCAAGCCCTCCAACAGGGCTTTTGATAGGCAGTTCAAATTTGATGCCACAAATGAAAGGTGTGTTGGTGAAAGTCAGTGCTAGTCGGATCAAATTTGATATATCAAATGAAAAGTTTACTAGCAGAGTCTTTCATTTGGTGAAATTTCAAAGATGACAGTTCAAATTTGTTGCAACGAATGAAAGACTCTGCTAGTAATGTTGCAAAGAATGAACATTTGTATGACTTTGATTACTTCATTACAATCATTACAATCTATTTGCTTATGAACAGTTTGTATTGGTGGCACACTTTCTTTTTAGGAATATGAAGAAGTGCTTATCAGAGGAAGTGATCAAAGATTTGATGGGAGATGCCATTGCAGTGTCCCAGCTAGACAGAGAATGGGAACAGTTGAAGGAAGACCGAGAAATTCTTCGTTCTATCTTCCCTACAGGAGACAGCAAGGTGGTTCTGCCCTGTAACTTACAGAGGATGATCTGGAATGCACAGAAAATCTTCCGTATTGATGTTCACAAGCCAACAGATCTTCATCCCATTAAAGTTGTAGAAGGTTGGTGTTTCTATTCTAATTATACTACATATGTGTATCATATAAAGATCATTATATTTTAGTAAGTAAAAGCCTTATTACATGTACATTTTGTTTTAGGAATTGAGGAGTTGTGCAAGCGTCTGGTTGTGGTGGTGGGAGAGGACAGACTGAGTATCCAGGCTAATGCCAATGCTACCTTGCTGATCAAGTGTCTGATCAGATCTACACTATGTGCTAAACGTGTGACAGAGGAGTTCAGATTAAGTTCTGAGGCATTTGAATGGCTCATCGGAGAAATCGAGTCCAAGTTCCAGCAGGCACAGGTATTAAAATGGAAGATTTTTTAGCTCACCTCGACGAAGTCGAGATGAGCTTATGCTATACCCCCGGCGTTGGCGTCGGCGTTAGCGTCGGCGTCCCGGTTAAAGTTTTAGGAGCAAGTCCCATTCCCAAGTTACTATAAGCCCTACCTGGACCAAACTTGCATGGATGATGCATCTAGAATGGACACTGCCACACTTGCTTCGGATGCTGGATCTGACCTAGATTTTCCAGATGAGTGACCAGGTTAAAGTTTTTGGAGCAGATCCATTCCCAAGTAACTATAAGCCATACCTGGACCAAACTTGCATGGATGATGCATCTAGGGATGGACACTACCACACTTGCTTCGGATGCTGAATCTAATCTAGATTTTCCAGATGAGTGACCAGGTTAAAGTTTTTTGAGCAGGTCCATTCCCAAGTAACTATAGGCCCTACCTGAACCAAATTTGCATGGATGATGCATCTAGGGATGGACACTACCACACTTGCTTCGGATGCTGAATCTGACCTAGATTTTCCAGATGAGTGACCAGGTTAAAGTTTTTGGAGCAGATCCATTCCCAAGTAACTATACGCCCTACCTGAACCAAACTTGCATGGATGATGCATATAGGGATGGACACTACCACACTTGCTTCGGATGCTGGATCTGACCTAGATTTTCCAGATGAGTGACCAGGTTAAAGTTTTTGGAGCAGGTCCATTCCCAAGTAACTATACGCCCTACCTGAACCAAACTTGCATGGATGATGCATATAGGGATGGACACTACCACACTTGCTTCGGATGCTGGATCTGACCTAGATTTTCCAGATGAGTGACCAGGTTAAAGTTTTTGGAGCAGGTCCATTCCCAAGTAACTATACGCCCTACCTGGACCAAACTTGCATGGATGATGCATCTAGGGATGAACACTACACACTTGCTTCGGATGCTGAATCTGACCTAGATTTTCCAGATGAGTGACCAGGTTAAAGTTTTTGGAGCAGATCCATTCCCAAGTAACTATAAGCCCTACCTGGACCAAACTTGCATGGATGATGCATCTAGGGATGGACACTACCACACTTGCTTCGGATGCTGAATCTAATCTAGATTTTCCAGATGAGTGACCAGGTTAAAGTTTTTGGAGCAGGTCCATTCCCAAGTAACTATAGGCCCTACCTGAACCAAATTTGCATGGATGATGCATCTAGGGATGGACACTACCACACTTGCTTCGGATGCTGAATCTGACCTAGATTTTCCAGATGAGTGACCAGGTTAAAGTTTTTGGAGCAGATCCATTCCCAAGTAACTATAAGCCCTACCTGAACCAAACTTGCATGGATGATGCATATAGGGATGGACACTACCACACTTGCTTCGGATGCTGGATCTGACCTAGATTTTTCCAGATGAGTGACCAGGTTAAAGTTTTTGGAGCAGGTCCATTCCCAAGTAACTATACGCCCTACCTGGACCAAACTTGCATGGATGATGCATCTAGGGATGGACACTACCACACTTGCTTCAGATGCTGAATCTAACCTAGATTTTCCAGATGAGTGACCAGGTTAAAGTTTTTGGAGCAGGTCCATTCCCAAGTAACTATAAGCCCTACCTGAACCAAACTTGCATGGATGATGCATCTAGGGATGGACACTACCACACTTGCTTCGGATGCTGAATCTGACCTAGATTTTCCAGATGAGTGACCAGGTTAAAGTTTTTGGAGCAGATCCTTTCCCAAGTAACTATAAGCCCTACCTGAACCAAACTTGCATGGATGATGCATATAGGGATGGACACTACCACACTTGCTTCGGATGCTGGATCTGACCTAGATTTTCCAGATGAGTGACCAGGTTAAAGTTTTTGGAGCAGGTCCATTCCCAAGTAACTATACGCCCTACCTGGACCAAACTTGCATGGATGATGCATCTAGGGATGAACACTACACACTTGCTTCGGATGCTGAATCTGACCTAGATTTTCCAGATGAGTGACCAGGTTAAAGTTTTTTGAGCAGGTCTATTTCCAAGTAATTATAAGTCCTTCTTAAACCAAACTTGTATAGATATTGATCTTGGGATGTACACTAACTAGAAAAAATATGATGTGAGATTTGCCTTACTTATAGATAACCTTCGTCGAGGTGAGCTTCGTAATCTTTGATTACCTATGTTTTTTAAATATAGAAGAAAATAGCCCATATACATGTATTTATCTACAAAGTATTTATTCTATGGAGAGGATTCAAAAATCATTAAAAAAAATTTCAGGTCCATCCAGGTGAAATGGTTGGTGCCCTTGCTGCCCAGTCTCTTGGAGAACCTGCCACCCAGATGACACTGAACACTTTCCACTACGCTGGTGTGTCTGCCAAGAACGTAACCCTTGGTGTGCCACGTCTGAAAGAGATCATTAACATCTCCAAAAAGCCAAAGACCCCATCACTTACTGTGTATTTGATTGGTCAGGCTGCAAGAGATGCTGAGAAAGCTAAGGTAAGGGGTGACAAAGGAGGCAAATAACCCACTATGAAACATCTTGACAGAAAAAAATGTTAAGTGTTAATGAAATGGAAAAGTCTTTATCCAAGTTGGTATACTTGTAAATTTTTGTTTTGTAGGATGTGTTGTGCAGACTTGAACACACTACTTTGCGTAAGGTGACTGCTAACACTGCTATCTACTATGACCCTGACCCTCAGAATACAGTGATCTCTGAAGACCAGGAGTGGGTCAATGTGTACTATGAAATGCCAGACTTTGATGTATCGAAAATATCTGCCTGGCTGCTGAGAATTGAGCTTGACAGAAAGAGAATGACGGACAAAAAACTTACAATGGAGCAGATCTCGGAAAAGATTACTGCTGGTAAGGAGTCCAAACTGTGATCTAGAAAAGTGGAGGATTTAGAATTGACAGGAAATTTTGTAGACTTTTTTTTTAAAATTTTTGATATGAATTGCTTTACTGTGATTTTCTAGGGTTTGGTGATGATCTAAACTGCATCTTCAATGATGACAATGCCGAAAAGCTTGTCCTTCGTATCAGGATTATGAACTCAGATGAAAGCAAAATGCAGAATGTAAGTACAATAAGTACTACACAGTATTCCTCAGAAACTAGTTATTTAAAATTGACAATCTGTCTTTCTAAAGAAAGAAAAAAGGTCCACCATAAATAATTATACATACACTGGATAATGTTTTAGGAGGAGGAAATCGTAGACAAGATGGAGGATGACGTTTTCCTGCGTTGTATTGAAGCCAACCTGTTGTCGGACATGACATTGCAAGGAATTGAGGCCATTGCCAAGGTAATTTTTAGTTATGTTAAGTTTAGATTAATCATACATGTACATATGTATATTGAGGAACAAAATGTTTTATCTTGATTTTAAATTGCATGTACATGTAAACAGTGTTATGATGCATCTTTGTCTTACTAGGTGTATATGCATTTGCCAAACACAGAGGACAAGAAAAGAATCTTTATCACAGAGGAGGGTGAATTTAAGGCAGTGGCCGAGTGGATCCTGGAAACTGATGGTACAGCTTTGATGAAAGTGCTCAGTCAGAGAGATGTTGACCCAATCAGATCCACAACCAACGACATTGTAGAAGTCTTCTCGGTATGTAACATGCAATTGCTTACTCAATTAAAGGGTTAAGTAAATGGTTAAGTATGATTGAAACTTCATATTTGAATGGAAACTTGATAAAATTATGTTTAAATATATAAACTGTAATTTTATTTTTTTTTAGATCCTTGGCATAGAGGCTGTGAGAAAGTCCATTGAGAAAGAAATGAACCATGTCATTTCCTTTGACGGTTCCTATGTCAATTATAGACATTTGTCTCTGTTATGTGACTCCATGACAGCTAAAGGTCATTTGATGGCCATTACAAGACATGGAATCAACAGACAAGAAACAGGGGCATTGGCTCGTTGCTCCTTTGAAGAGACAGTAAGTTTGGTGCATTGCTATTTAAAATGCATTTATTTAACATGATTTTGACTTTAAAATAAATACTTGTCAAGAGTGTGAAAAGTCCAAAATATGTTTGAAGTTGCAAAGATTCAAATTTTTGCGTATTCTTTCATAGGTGGACATTCTAATGGAGGCTGCCTCTCATGGAGAAATGGATCCTATGAAGGGTGTCTCTGAGTGTATTATGCTGGGTCAGTTGGCTAGAATTGGAACAGGAAGCTTTGATTTGTTGCTTGATGCTGAAAAGTGCAAGTATGGTATGGAGATTCCAACCAACATTGGAGCTGGAATGCCAGGTGGAAGTAAGTCTTAGTCTTCACAGTCCTTTTCTTTTTAGTACGGTATATTATGCATTTGAATTATTCTTAAAAAATATTATTTTTAAAAACATTTGGAATGAATAACCCTTTATATTCCAACATGGTTAGATATTAAGATTTTTCACTAAATGAGCTTCTGTTGTTACTTTATTTTTATATCATTTTGCTTTTCATTTACAGTTAGCACTGGTTTGTTCTTCGGAGCAGGAGCAAGCCCAACAGCAGGAATGTCACCTCAGATGACACCTTGGCAGCAAGGAGCTACCCCAGCTTATGCCAGTGCTTGGTCACCTGGAGTGGGCAGTGGAATGACCCCAGGTGCAGCAGGATTCTCACCCTCTGCAGCCAGTGAGAGTGGATACAGTCCTGGCTACAGCCCTGCTTGGTCCCCTCAGCCAGGTTCACCAGGACCAGCCAGTCCATACATACCTAGCCCTGGAGGAGCTATGTCTCCTAGCTACTCTCCTGCCTCACCCTCGTATGTGCCATCTTCTCCTGCTGCTACACCACAGAGTCCTGGATATTCACCAACAAGTCCATCTTACTCGCCAACAAGTCCTGGATATTCTCCAACTTCTCCAAACTACAGTCCTACTAGTCCATCTTATTCGCCAACAAGCCCAAGCTACAGCCCAACATCTCCAAGTTACAGTCCAACTAGCCCATCTTACTCTCCAACAAGTCCAAGTTACAGTCCGACTTCACCTTCGTACAGTCCAACAAGCCCGTCTTATTCTCCAACAAGCCCATCATATTCTCCAACCAGTCCTTCATACAGTCCTACAAGCCCCTCATATTCTCCAACAAGCCCTTCATATTCTCCGACATCCCCCTCCTATTCCCCAACAAGCCCCTCCTATTCTCCAACCTCCCCAAGTTACAGTCCAACTTCCCCAAGTTATTCTCCAACCTCCCCCAGTTACTCTCCTACAAGTCCAAGTTATTCCCCGACTTCTCCAAGCTACTCTCCAACGAGTCCATCTTACAGCCCTTCAAGTCCTTCTTACAGCCCAAGTTCTCCAAGTTATTCACCAACAAGTCCTAGTTACAGTCCAACAAGCCCAAGCTATTCTCCCAGCAGCCCTAAATACAGTCCTACAAGTCCTTCCTATTCCCCAACAAGCCCTTCCTATTCCCCCAGCTCCCCGCAGTACTCCCCCTCATCTCCAAAATATTCTCCCTCGAGTCCTTCATACTCCCCCAGCAGTCCAAAATACACCCCCAACTCTCCCACATATTCTCCTTCCTCTCCTAACTATAGTATCAATGAGTACAGTCCAAGTTCTCCAAGATACAGCCCCAGTCCAAAGTATTCCCCCACATCTCCGACCTACTCCCCAACCAGCCCCAGACATTCTCCAGCTAGCCCTTCCTACTCCCCCACAAGCCCCCAATACACCCCAACTAGCCCAACATACACACCAACATCCCCACAGTACTCCCCTACCAGTTCACGTTACTCCCCAGACACGCCTGGATCACAGTGAAAAGCTGAACAGTTGTGAACTGAGTAAGACACATTTAGTGTGTGGTGCATAATCTGTGGAAGTGATTGACAAATTAATGAACACGAGACATGAGGCAATATACATTTGACTTGAAGTGTCTGACATTAAGTATCTTCTAGTGAAGTTTGTATCATACATCCATTAAGAAATGTTACCTCATTTGTAAATAATGGTCATCAACAGAAATAACCCCAATCATAAGCTTTAACACCTCGACAACAAAAGCTGGAAGTTGTAAATAATCCTTTATTTTTTTTTTTAGATAAAAAAATTGTAAATACATGTATATGTTGAATTTTATTTTTACATATTTTTTTTTCCATGAATGAAAATCTATTCCTTTTTGTTTCTGTATCATTTATAAGATTTTCATTATTTCATTATTCATTTATGTAAATTATTTTCATGCCAAATACAATATGTTCATCATGTTACAAACTGTCAAATCCTTGATTTGAACTGTATTCTCATTTTAGTATTTATGTTCAGAGACTTCATACATTTTATTGTCAGAACAAAAAAATAGGAAATGGATGTATTTTTTCACCCTATTTTGTCTTTGTCTCATTTGTTGCGAAGACAGTATAATGTACAGCGTTCTCTTTTTTTTTCAACTTTAAATGTGACTAGAATCTGTTATATTTTTATACAGATTAAAGAAGTTGTTATCAGTAATCCTTACAAATGCGCTTTGTTGTTATGGCATGGTATGCATTGAGATACAGGTATTTATGCTTTGTTTGCATTGGATGATTTGTATTTATCTTGCACAATTGAAACGATTTGTAGTTACATACTTGTATGAGAATGTACAGATTAAAACCAATGTTTTGTGATCGATGATTGCCATTTGTATGTTGTTTTATTATTGCAAAAAAAAAAAAGAATGAATGAAAATAGTGCTTTATTGTGATTTGTATTTCATCATCAGAGATTGATATGTGAATGTACAGAGTTAAACTGCAAAAAAAGTCTGGAGTCACTTTGAATCTGACATGTTTATGTTGAATATATTTGAAGTTTCTCAGATTAAGTTAGTTTGAATTTTTAGCTCATTGACAATAGAAATGCCTTGTAAGGTGATGTACAATTCATGTATTATTATTTTTTACGGTATGTTGAAAAATTCTATTTTGGAGAAAGTTACTCAAAGATTCTCTAACAAATTCAAGTGGACATTGTATTATGCTATTTCTGAAAGACAAAGTATATAAGTTTAACTTGTTGTAAAATGTAATACATTTAAAGTAACTTGTGTTATCAGCATATGATGAATATTATTTGTAATAGCTAAGGCCATCTTTAAAAAATTGTTTGGTTGCCCTCCTGACTGACTGGCTAAAAATGACTGGACTCAAAACTTTTTTTTAACCTCCAGGAAACAATTTTTATTTTTTGCATTCCATAAAATAGATTTTGAAAATTCAGCATTGGTGTTGATATTTTCTGGGGGGAAAATTCCCACCTACCTACCAACTCAATTTTTCATCCTGAGTCGGGAGAGGGCAACAAACATTATTTTAAAGTTGGTGTAACTGCTGGAAAAATATTCATTCTGATCAAACGAATTTAGAATTCGAACAAGCAACCAATCTGCACTTTAAAATGTGAAATAACTTGTTATGCCATGATGTTTTCTAACTGTATTTCCATCTGCAGATTTGCTGATTTGATTGAAATAAAAGTAAATTTTAAAAGCATCATTTTATACTGTCTTTTTCTTTCAGTTTGAGCAAGCTAAGGAATTGTTATTAAAATATGGCATTTTGACAAGAACAAGGTTCAATTGAACCAAAGTGAATTTTCATTGGCTATGTTGGATGAAAAGTTTATAAGATCACTCAAAAAATACTGTTGATCTTGTTTGTGTGGTGGTAGGAACATATGTCTTGTGGAAATACACCATTACATCTGTATTTTTGGAAATATACTTGTGGCTGAGTGAGTAATGCTGTATTTTATCAGAAACTATCCAAATATTGATTCTGAATACATACCGTAGACCTTTGTTGAAACGATCGATCGATGTATCTCTGTCTACATGGATAATTTTCTGTGATGATCTTCATAGGAGATTTAAAGGTGCTTAGACACAGATTTGAACTTAATATTTTCTCAATTTTTCTGTATAATATCACGACTTATATATTGCAATAGCATTTCACATGAAAATATAATTAAAAACTTATTTTATCTGGAAATTATTGGAACTACGAATTCCGGGACGCGTTTGATTAACACATCTTTGCACTTACACAAATTTTAACTTTATCCTTAATATTTAAGAAAAGAAGCGATTTTGTTATGTATTAATGAAAAATATTACATCTTTAATCCAGAAAATTCAGAGTAGAAATGTTCAAAAGCAAAACCAAATCACCAGTATTGTCAGTCCGTGCTCTGTGATGTGTACAGAGTTTAACAAATTGAACACACCCGTGAAACGTAAACTGTTTTTATAAACAGGGCACGAGCTCTGTTATTGTTAATGTTTACGATTCACCGGGTGTGTTCAATTGTTAAACTCTGCACACACCACTGAGCACGGACTTCCAAAAAACTGTGAATGGGTTTTGCTTTCGAACATTTCTACTCTGAAATTTCTGGGTTATAGTTTTACTATTTTTCATTAATACACAACAAAATTGCCACTTTTCTTAAGTATTAAGAATAAAATTAAAATATGTCAAAGCGCAAGGATGTGTCAATCCAATGCGTCCAGAAATTCGAAGTTTTAATAACTTTGAGATGAAATAAGATTTTTATTATATTTTAGTATGAAATGCTATAGCAACATATAAGTCATGAAATTATACAGAAAATTTAAGAAAATATTAACTTCAAATCTGTGTCCAAGCACCTTTAAAAATAAAATGACTATATATATATATATATATATATATATATATATATATATATATATATATATATTATATATATATATATATATATATATATATATATATATATATATATATATATAAAAGATGGTTTTGTGAAACACTGATGCCCCCGTATGACAACTTACAACAAAGGTTAAACTTTTTCAAATGCAAATCAAATGTTGATACCGAAAGTAAGGTCTTGTCTCGAGGAATATACTTGTGAAATATGAAAGCCTCCAGCAGCAACCATTGAAAAGATATGGAAAAGGTTAAAGTTTTTCAAAAGTAAGTCAAACATCAAGGTCAAATGGTCAAAATTAATGGTGCCCCTGTAAGGATAGGCCTCTCGCAAAAAATACACGTGTGAAATATGAAAGCACTAACGCCAACGCTCAAAAGTGATGGCCAAGGTTAAAAGTGTTCCAAGTAAGTCAAATACCAAGGTCAATGGGCTATGATTGTTGGTATCATAGGGAAGGTCTTGTCACAAAGGAATAAACATGTGAAGTATGAAAGCTTTAGCACCAACTGTTCAAAAGTTATGGCCAAGGTTAAAGTAAAAGAAGGTCAAACTCCTAGGTCAAGGTCAAAGGGTGAAAGTTGTTGGTATCCAAAGGAAGGATTACACACGTGAAGTATGAAAGCCATGTGAAAAATGAAAGCCATAGCTCCAACCAATCAAAAGTTATGGACAAATAAAAAATGTTAAAGTTTTTGCAGGCAAACAGACAGCTAGACAGACGGACGGACAGGGCAAAAACTTTATAACCCCGAATCTTCTATTACGGGTGCATAATAAATCCTCTAAAAATGTTCCATGTTATTCATACCCCCCCCCAGTACGAATTTATCTTGTACAACTTATCAAACACCTGTCATACGAAGATGGAAAAGAGAGAAAACAGACAGAATACGGGTATTGTTTTAAAACGTTCTTGGCCAGATACAGAAAATCCTTTTTATTTGAATAAGTTCTTAAAGCAATGATTCAACACAAATAATAGACAAGATGTCCCTGTCGTAATATATGACAGGGATGTAAACTTATCAATATCACGCAACAGAGGAAATTCAAAATTAACAATGAATTAATTACAGAATAATGGCTCGATACGATAGTGACGACGATAGGAAGAAACGAAAAAAGAAGAAAAAGAAACATTCAAGATCAAGGTTTTTATTCATTTATTATTAATAATAATGATCTTTAATGCATATTACACAGTTACAATTAAGTGTCAAGCAATACAGTTTGTAGTGAAAATGCATATGTAAATATATCTCCTATGACCTTTCACCCTGACCTCATAGCCACCCACCCGTGCCGGCACGCTTCCCACATCAGTTGAGTCCTGCCAGTCTACCTTTCACCACGTTTTCCTGTTCTTATATGTGTTGTATGTACCCGTGTTTATAATCATCATGTAAACCTGGGTGTTTCATCGTCACCTTATACTAAGGTAGGCGACATTATTAGTAAAATCCCTAATTTTACTACATTGGCGTCGCCGGTAATTCGGTGCAGGGGAAATTGTATATATTATGTGTAAAATTCACGCGTGAGTTTCCACTCGTGAATAGAAACACGGGTTGAAATATTTTCTAATATTTCGCATTTAGTCATTTTGGAATTCAGGAAACTGTTGTAAAAAGGCGTTATATTTAACGTTAGTTACAAAGTTCCAACAATCTGACTAATTTGCCTTGTTATTTTTTCACTCGTGAGTTGCATTTACTTCAAATTGAACACGTGGTGATATCACGGTCCAGTTATTTTTGTATTTTTGTTTTTCATTAGTATTTAGTATTATATTTATCGTACAAGTTTTTTTTATAAACGTTGGTACGAACATTTTGAACATTTATACATTGTCTTGTGCGAATTACCACTTTTTCTCGACTCAATCAATTTTGGTCATTCGTGCCGTAACGATAGACCTTGTAAATTGTTTGTCTATTTCAAATATTTTTTGCACGAGACAAATAGTTCATTCTTTTTATTGAAAAAGTTTTTGTCACTCGTGTTGACAATTTTCGAGGAGCGTTTTCTTCTTGACTCGTCATTTAATTTTAATTGTTTGTGAATTATCTTACATTTTTTTTTTCTCTCAGCTTCCCAAAAAATATTTTGGGGGGAAGTAGAGAGATATTGTTTTTTCATATCGTATATTTTTTGTACTTATGTTAACATCACAGAGTTAGTTCACGCATACCCATTTACTTGTAATAGCTATATAGATCAAAACGCACGTGCTTCACGCTTTAGTACGTAGCTGTAGACTGGTTTGCGGTGTACGTTTTTACATCTTTTAAGCTCTGTAATATACGTAAATTTATTTGCAAATATAGTGAACTCATGGAACATCCTCATTTGATTATACAATTGATTAATTAGATTATCTACCATATTTCGTAACATCAACAGTGATCAATGCTTGTTTCTACCGTCGTCTGTCATCGGGCGTTTACATTAACATTGTAAGAGTCAGTGCGGTAATTAAGCAAGTAGTTAAACAGTTAAGGTGTAGATTAACAGTATTAATATTCTGGACCAATATATCAAGAAACAGAAATACGGATAAAGATAACAACATCGTTAAACAGTAATCAAAGATAAAGAGAAGATAGAAAGAAAAAAGGATAGAAAGAAAAGGTTGACGTCATAATCTAAAATTACCTGGACCATACTGATGAATTAAACCGGCTTAAAATACAATTATTTATTGTGTTAAAGTAACGTTTAATTCAAATCACGATGACTTCACAGATCTTGTTGTACATCAGTCACTTTAATGTGTTGTAGTGTTTTCACCGGCGGTTTCTTTTACCGTAACGTGAAAATACTGCAATGTCAATAACTAAACACACATTCTCTGACTGATTGTTTCAGTAGTGTCAAACGGCGTGATTATTTCCGTAACTTTGAACTACTGAAGACAACAAGATGAATCCAGCAATTACACCTTGTACAGCACCTCCTGGATACTATGGTGGATCATACCTGCCATCATTCAACCAAGGTGAAATGGGGTATCCTTTTCCTTGTATACCAGTGCCTGGGAATTACAATGTACCATTTCCCGGATATGGTGGACCATACATACAACCATTCTCTGGACCACCACAGCCATGTCCGAGCATTCCATATGCATATGGCCCTTATCCCGGAATGTTCCCACCTGGATACATGGTACCACCACAGGTATACCCCAAACCAGGCATGTATGGAGGGCCACCAATGCCACCACCATTGACCCAATCACAAGATGGAGTTGTACAATGTCCTGCTATGTCAACAAATGTTATTCCAGACAACACCCAGATCCAGGAACAAAGAGATGGTTCAGGACTGATGAAACCTGGAGATGCCAGCAACTGTATGTCTGATTTGCCAGCAGCATTACATCATCAGCAGCAGATGCCAACAGTTTCCAGAAAGTGTCCACCAGGTTTTCCACAAATACCGAGTGGTGATATTTCACCTGCTGGTAGACAGTGGAATACCATGGTGTCACAAGATGGTCTCCAAGTTCCTGGAATTTCACACAAAGAAGACATAGAGGACAGAGACGAAACAGAAGGCAGATCTGTTGAGTTATGGCCTCCGAGTAGTGAGCATTCAACTGCTGGTTGCCAAACAACTCCAGATGCTGAATACACCCCTGACTGCAAGCAAATACTGGACCTGACTTTGGATACACAGCCTTCTAGGAGTGATGTTTTGCCTGAGCATAGCAACGAGTCAGTTGTAAATGCTCAGACGATTGATAGCTTACAGAAGCCCTCCTACAAAGAGCTGGTTACAGACCAAAAGGAAAAAGCAAGTTTTTCACTATTAGAATCACCAATCCATGATGAGAAACACAAAAGTAAAGAAGAGATTGGTGAAGAAGTATTGAAGGCTGATTGTGAAGTATTGTCTGTACCAGCAACAGCTGTGTATCATGACACAACCACCAAAAGTGACAGCACAGGTGGCTCAACCAAGTTTACTTGGAGTGCTGCCAACAAGGACCTTCCTCCCACATACAGAGCATGCCTTGTTTGTGTACTCCAGTATGTGGACTGTGGGCTGGGCATTCCATCTGGGCTGCCACTTGAGAACAAATGTTGGGCTGTGCCATGGCTCACTGAGATTATGTAGATCATTTGCTATATAAAAATCCCTGAAATGCTTTTACTCAGTGTTTATTTATTGGGTTCTATTTATACTTAAGTCTATTTTTAATGTGTTGGTTTTATTTAATTAGACTTAATGAATTAATTATTAAATATTTTTCCTCCATTCTCAAAAATAAGAACGTGAAAATTGAGTGATAGTTAAGATTTATATCAAATAAGTTTGAACGTATTCTAATCATTTTCAGTATTTAGTACTTTAAGTCAGTAGTATTAAGTTTAACCAATAGTTATATTACACATTTCCTCTAACCCCTTATTCTGCTTTAACTTATTCAAGAAACTAACATTTAAACTAAAATTGGTAATCAACTCTGGTAGTTGACTAATTTATTTGTAGTACATTATAATAACAATCTAGATTTATCTAGTAGGTACTAAACTAACTATACCTTGCAGCAATTTTACTATTGTATTTGATTATAACTATTGACTGCCCTATAGTACTTGCATGATTTAAGTGTTTAATACACTAGAATAGTTATGCACAATCTACATTAGATAAGTCCTAGTATTACTACATGAATAATTGAAACAGCTATCTATTGCTTCCTCTCTTATATTGAAAATAAAAGGGAGGGAAAATAGTGTAGATATATAATGATATATTAGGTTGTAGATCTTTATAGTGCTGTAATTGTTAAAGTTTTATTTAATCAATAATAGTTGCAGCAATCTAATAGTTAGTATCGAACTCATGTGTAACATTTAAACAATAGATTTATAGTAACTAATTTGCACCTATTATCAGTAATAATTGAGCACAGTGATGATTAACAGTTACTCGCATTGTAAGTAAATCTATTACAACTAAGGGTATTCAGTTATTTATCATTGCCAGTGTAAATGTTATTAGTTATTATTTAAGACCCATATACTTATACTTTGCACAAAACCATTACATTTAATAGTGTTTGAGATTTAAGCAGTATAAGAATAGTTATTATTATTTAAGAATTTCTAAGTTGTGCAATACACATGGAATCAAGTTAAATAGTGAACATATATAATTAATGCTCAAGCAAATCAGAATAAATGCTGATTACAAGTACATATTGTAGTCACATAATAAAACTCTTTATTAAGGAATACATAGGCTTTTAAGTTTAATTAGTATATCTAGGCCAAATCTTTTTGAAGCATATTCAGGCAGTATAAGTCATAATTTTGCAGTGATCTACTCTGTTGCATGTCTTTGACCCAGTTCCTAAGGATGGCCAGGAATACTTAAACCAGGACTGGTGTAAACATGCAACCTAAGCTTTCCGTTGGATATAACCTGGCTGATATTTTTCAGTGATGGTATATCATGGCGGATCGCCTAATGTAAATAATCCACGCTTTCTGTTAGATACCCGGCTGACCATTCTCAGTGACGGTATTAGTGCGGATTGCTGTATGTAAATAGTCTTGTGCTTTCCGTTAAGATACTTGGCTGAGTTCTTTCAGTGACAGTATTGGGGCGGATTGCTTTACATGTTTTGTATATAGTTATATTTCCTAGTTATTACTTAGACCAAGACTACATTTTCCGTGTCATACCTGGCTTACTTATTTATCATAGAAAGTGACGGTATTGATGCGGAATGTGTTTTGTAAATATGTTTCCAGTTGTTATATTTCAAAGTTAGGTTATTTCTAGTTAGGAATATAGGATATATACATTCTTCAGTTAATTTAGTACTTAGGCTAGGAAATAATACATTTTTGTAAGTTAGTTCAAGTTAGTATAGTTATACAGTATTATGCATCGTAGATAAGGTGACGACACACATCAAAGTATAATAATCAAAATATAAGGTTATTATCAGTATACATCACAACAGTGCAATAAATTACATATTATTTATATATCTGTTGTAAGGTTCTAACATAGACTGCACTCCTGCACAATTTAATTAGGCAAATCAGTTGTATACATGATTAAGTAATTATATATATTAACCTTGGTGTAACTGAATCTCACTAGACTAAACCATGTGTCATAACATTCG